CTCATATAGGTTGAGTCGCTGAGAAATTTGATCAAAACTCGAAAGGGACATATTCACCTAAGTTCACTTAGGATGGACCAAAAAACTATCAACTCTTTGTCGATCAAATTCGTAAGAGACCCTAAAGTGTCCCTCAAATAAAATTTATTCAGGGATTTCCTCAACTTAAACGCCCTATATATATATATGTATGTATGTTGTAGCCCTCCCCACCAAAAGAGAGAAATCAAATGAGCTGAGCTTGGCATGTACAGTAACTGAGCACCACAAAAGTTTTGAAGGAAATAATTACTCAAAGAGGAATGCATAATTTCCTCTGGACACGGACAGTAAATATTTATTTACCAAATTATATAAAACATTAGCTTAAATTAATTATCAGAAGAACAAGTAATAAAACCTGAAAGTGACATCTCTACCACTACCACACCTTTGAAAGTACAAGAGAGAAATAAAGGTGATATACATCACACGTCTCCCCTTGGCCTTTTCATCTGAGATTCAGAGTGTCTCCTTCCTTCCATCAAAGCTATTTTCTTCAATCTTGCAGTACCAAACCCTAGTTTTGATAAATGAAAAATAAATATGCGCGCCTTATTATTCTGTAAGTAAAAAGAGAAAATAATAAAAATAAAAAACTTGTTTGTTTTTCAGCGAGCAGAAACCAAACAAAAAATCTATGATAAAATACGAACCGATGTCCAAACATGAAATGTCATGTCATGTCACCTAACTTTGTTTCTCCACTGACTCACTGACTCACTCGCCTGTGCTTGTATGGGACGATAACAATACATCAATTTCCAAAAATTACTAATCAATTACACATTGACGTAGACGTTTATGAAAAGATGTAGTAATTTCCAGAAATACAAATAAATAAACGCTTAAACTATACCTAATTATAATTTAATGTTAAACTCGCAATCGAGAGCAGGGATTTTAGCTGCCAAGTTGCTAGACTGCACAAGTCAAACTTGGGTTTAAATAAGTTGCATATTATTTGCTAGACACCTGCGACACTGACAGTTAGGTCACCTTTTTTTTCTTCTTCTTCCTCTGTGTAAATTATGGAGTTTCAGAGCAAATTGTCAACATTTGATTTGAAATAAGATACAAGTTGAAACCAGAATGATGGAAAAAGGAAAAAAAATACTGTATTATATGTTATTATTATTATCTCGTATAAATAATAATCCGCGTGGAGTGGAGTGGCTTTCACATCACAATTTGATGAGTCTTTGATTAATTATCAAGAGATTATAGGATTTGGAGTATTGATTATGACATGCAAACGTAAATAAAACCTCAAAAATTATTATCCCGAATTGAGCTGTGAATTTCCGATACTGATTTATTATGGTACCCAACAAAACCCAGTGTAGCCTGATGAAGAGAGTATAATCACATTACACAATAACTTTTGTCTTGAACAAAAGCGGCGTACACTTGCTTTTGTCTAAATCCTTGCCCTCTTTCTTTCTTAGAAGCTCACATCAGTTGGAGGGTTTACATCCAAAAGAATCCAAAAGTGCCTTCAAGTGAGGACCCCATGATATACCAAAGCAATTCCAATTGCAATTGGTGAAGAAAGACAAAGCGCACTAGCAGACAATCCACTCCAGCTGTTTTTTTATTCATTTCACCATGTAATTTTCAACCTCCCCTGCCTGCTTGCTTTTCAGCTCAAAACTCACAAAACCCTTTAAGCCAAATTCAATTTATCTTAGAATTGGTCTTATATTGATGCCTTTTCTTCTCATGCATGTCACTAAGTTGTTTTCGTTGAAGCATATGAGTATCAAATACACCATATAATAAGTGATTTCACTATCAATAACATAGATCGAGACCTTTTGTAATAATACTCTATATTGATTGAGCTTTGTAAGTTTGAGAACAATATCGATGTTATTAGTAGTGGGACATGAGTCCGTCCCTTTGAAATCTTAATAGTTTTTATTGTGTTATATATATACAGAAATGTTGTGTTTTCATCATCTACAACTCGTGTTAATGTGAACTGGATTAAAACTTAAAATGGAAGGCCAAAGTAGATGCTCGAAAGCACTTCTTACTTTAGGATAAGTAAACGAATAATTTCTTCATAAAAGGTCCTAGCTTAAGATGCTAAGCTTGCCATACAAAATGACCAGGTTCACTTCACCTCTACTTCCATTAGTAAAAGCTTCCTCTCAAGTCAACTCACCATTGCAAAAATGTGTGTTTCCATACATATGCCTAATCAAAAAAATAAAATTCAGAAATAACATAATTATGTGTTAGTTCATTGTTCTTCATCGTGGAAGCACTTGCATGATTTACATATTCCTCCAACAAAAGAAGAAAGAAAAAAGAAAAAAGAAAACAGAAAACAAAATAGGCACACACTGCCGACCCCATTAATGTGGTATACGCAGCCATAATCATTTCCCATGATAAGTAGCAAAGCCAATACATTATTCATTTCTTTGTCTGCTAAAAGTCCACTGCGGAATTTCGTCTGCCAAGTGTAGCGTTTCGAATGAGCCAAATGGAAGCAACCGGTTGGTCCAACCAATCCATGACATGGACATTAACAAAAAATGTCACAACCTAGCTAGCTTGCAAAGCAAAGTGTGAATCTAAAGCCTTTTGTGGCTGTGAACTTGTGGTGGAGGTTCCTGGCTTATAAGCCAAGAGAGAAGAGATGGAGCTTCCCTCCTTTTACATTTTCTTATCTTTTCTTTGTTTTCCTAATGTGGGAGTTTTAAGGTTTCATATAGGCCATCCCAAAGTGAACATTACTTGAAAAAGAGGGGCATATACTCTCCACTCTTCTTTTACGATCCCTCATTGGTTGAAATTCCTTAAGCCCTGTATTAAAATTTTGAGCTGCTTCTTACTTTCAATAACTTTACAGCCAAGCCAAGCTCCAGATTTGTCACATGGAATGGAATTTTCTTTCCACCTTGAAAGCTATTTGACTTAACAATTATTTAAACTATATGTCTGAAAACGAAATCGCTTTTAAGCTCAGTGGCTTATTCCTATTCCTATTTCTGGGGTTTCGCTTTCACACTTGCTTTTTTAGAACACAAACTGCAATAAATATATTTCCAGTTAGACACAACTCAACCAGAAGCCAAGCATTGTTAATTACGGCCACGAATCAGGCATTAGATCAACTCTCTGTCATTGCTTTAAGTAGTACTAATTGTTTACTTTTGGCCTTTTTTTTCTTTCAAATATTGATTCTGCATTTCATTATATTTTATGGAAGAATTAATAGAGTTATTCTTTATGCTGAGTTCGAGTTTGAGTTTGAGAAAGGGACCAAAAGATGGGACGAATAGAAGTGACCATATCGAAAGAGAATTTGAATATTTGATCAAAATGGAGGATAGAATCTATATATCTTCTCCCTCCTTTTAGTTTTCCAGCTAATAATTTCAATTCGTTTCTGCTTCAATATATCAGATGAATTTGAGTTGCAGTTTTACTACCTACCAATTTGAGTTGGGCCGGGCAGTGAAAAACACAACAGGAGGTCAATGGAAAGGGGTGTTTCTGTTGACATGATGATCATATACATATGAGTAAAACGTGGAATTGTTTGTCCTCTTTCATTATATTTCAACGCACTATACCATATATCATCCTTGATTAATAAAATATACGAAGATATTTGTCTTGGAACAATCGTATTCTTTCAAATGTCAATAATTATAGGCAAAACTAGCTAATCCCAATAGCAAACCTTCCTTATTATAATTATTAGCACACTGGTTTTCATAATATATACAAGTTACAACAAGACAGCCCTACAGGTGAAGGGACTTTCTTTCAACTCTTTACTTTCTGTCAATCCAAAACTACTCAACTATATTAACTCTATCAGATAGTGACATCGGGCTTGTACAAATTTATATATATATATATATATATATTCTCATCATATGTGACCATCTATAATATTCTATTTCAACTTGAGGTAATTCAAGGTGCACAGTGAGGAGGAGCACATTCGCTCTAGCCAACCAGGCTAAGCTCATGTTTGCGGACATATGTATGTTTTTTATTTATTTATAAAAAGTATTATTGTCCTAATTTTAGGTAAGAGTAAATTTATAATTTGAATTTGAATTCTAAGTCAATGAATTAAAAATAATTAAACATCTACAGTTTATTTAAAAGTCTGAGATGAGCAAGTATAAGGTGATATGAACTTTCAAATTTATAAACTACTTATTAATAAGCCCTTCAAAATAAGCACTTTCAGATGCACAAACTAGTCAAGTATGTTCTTAAAAACTTTAGGCGTTCAACGTTCAGGAATCTTCTATTTTATATAAAAGGAGAAAAGAAAAAGGGAAGAGAAATGTATCAATTGGCATACAGCTCTCATTTATTGTCATTTTTGGTAAGTGATTGTGATTCCCACCGATGTCATGAAAGGTATTTGCGTGATTGTTTTATTTAATTATATTTATGTGATGTTACATGTCCCATTACTTATTTTCCCTAGTGATTTTGGTAGCTAACTATAGGTGGGGAATAATCAACTATACCTTTCTGTAATTTTGTGTGTAGATGGCTAGATACATGACCGTATCATACAAACGAAGAGACAACTCCAAATGCATTGAATTTTAAAGTGAGAATTCAGAGATGCCAATTGCCAAATTGCCTCCAATCCAAGAACCCAAATGCTGATGATTGATGACCGCAGTCCAGCCCACACAAATGTCCACAGGGTTTGGCTCCTGATGTACCTCTCTCTCTCTCTCTCTCCCTCTCTCTACAAATTGCAGTTAATTAATATCAAAAATAGTACATTTTGCAATAAAAAATCATTTTGAAATAGTAAAAATAATATATTAAAAGGGGAGCATGATAAGAGACATGGGGACAGGTGCATTATAAAAATGATTGTGTCCTTTTCCCTACTTTGTCCTTATTATGTGTACCATCACTCCCAATATTACTGAATACTACTCCCCACTCATTATTATTTATATAAATTCTCTCTCCTACTAACTTAAATCAACCAACCCCAAACAAACCCACACTATATTTCTCTCATCTTTATTTATTTCTTTGCAATTTGGCTGCCCTGTTTCGGTCATTCAGTGTGCTTCTGTTACTCTGATTTTGCTCTCTTTCTGGCTTCTTAAGTGATATCAGCGAGCTCTGTTTCTCTTTGAGAATGTATGCAGAGACTGGGCTTTTGTTCCCTTATTTCCAGAATTCACCTCAAGATTTTCAGCAACTTGAGGAGTTCTGCAGAACCCAGAAGTCAAATGCTTCAGTGGTACTCTCTTTCTCTTTGTTAACATTCATATATGCACGTTTGTGAATTATCATTAATTTTGTTATCTGTGTCTTCGTTTTTCTCATAGATTAGCTTGATCTGCATTGGATTGACTAGTTCTGAGATGGGGTTGAGCCGACTTAGTATAAAGTAGTGAAATTGGCTCACTTTCTGTGCTTAATTGTGTATTCTGTCCAATACCATCTATAACCCGCTGTTTGTTTCTTGAGAAAATGGGGACTATTTGTGGATTCATTGGATGTTGGAACTTATTTACTCTGATTTATAGTTTATTTGTGAAGCTCAAAGTTCGAACTTTGACATGTTTTTATGTTTTTAAATTTATTGGTTTTATTTTCATCTAGTCCCCTGTTTGGTTGCTGAGAAAATCAGGGGGAAGATGTGAAAATTTTGGGAATTGGGAATTCAAGTTAGGGAGAGAAGATTGTTAATTTCTCATACTTATTGTTGTTTGATGAATAGAAAACAAGCGGAAAGAAAAACCTCTAATTGATGGTAAAGTTGGAATATTTAACAATTAAACCAGGCATAAAGCTCTCTTTTCTTTTTCTTCTCCAAATTTCTCTACTTTTGGAGAGGAAAAAGATGGGTCAAGAGAGAGAAATTTTTTCTTGATCATCTATGTTTTTCCCCCACATTTAATTATCCGAGCCAGAGATTCTCTTTGTATCTCTCAAACCCAAACCAAAAAACACTTTTAGAGTTTTAAATTTTTAATGGTTTCTGGGTTTCCAGAAAATGGAAAATGGAAAAGGAAAAAGAAAAATATCTCTGTCTGTCTCTTGTTTTTATTGCATCAGGGCATGCATGGAAACAGCTGGACTTAGCTTTTATGTGCTGGATCTGGAAAAGCATAAAAAAGGAAACTTGTAGAAACGTGTTGCATAATTTTTCTTTCCTTCTTTCTTTTTCTCTGCTGCGATCTTGTAGTAGGAATTGTAGCTTTTTCACCGCACTCACACTAAATGCTAAAGAAGGAAAAGACGTATTTTGCTTTGTTTTATTTCACTCGAGTGAGTGTGAGAAGAAAGTTGACTTCATGGAACTGTAATCTCGGTATTAAAACTTTACTTTTGGAGAAGGTGAGGAAAAAGAATTACTTTGTGGTAGAATTGTGCCTTTGTTAACAGTTCGGAGGACAGTTTTCAGCATTAGGGATATTTCTTTAGTGTCCATATATGAGTGAGTGCCCTGAAGTTGAGAACTTGCCACTTGTCCACTTTGTTTGTGTTGGTCTGAATTTTTGGTTACTTGCTAGACCTTCACACTGCAAGCATATGCTCAAGTTTACTGGTTTTTTTTTTTTTTTTCTCTGATTGTAGCTGAAATTCAATGCTTCTTTTGTATATTGCAGAATAGCTTCGCCGAGGCCTCTATGATATCAGAATATGACCTGGGAGGAGAATGGGATCTATTCAAAGCTCCAGAGCCTATAATTGAAGAGCCGGGCATTGGCCTTGATCCCATGACAGCAACCATTTCAATGATATCTTGTGGGGAAGATGTCACCTGCTCTCAAGGGCTAAAGGTTGCAGACATTGAATCATTTCAAAGTGAGCAGCTTTTGAGTGATGTCTTCTATGACAAGGATCTTTTAGGGAAGGAGGCAATAGGGGAAGGGAACCACTTTCTGAGGCCCTAGATATCAAAATTCCTATTTTGACAATGGATGCAAATCAAATTCAGGAAAACAAACCAATTCGCGATGTAACATTCCAGAAAAGTGTCAGCTCAGGATGTTTAACCTCAAGGGAGTGGATGCATGGAACTTCAACGAAGCCAAGTTTCCTGGATTTTCCTGGAATGGATTTTGGTGCTGCTTATGGTATTCGGAGGGCATATAGTGAAGGAGATATTAAGGTCAGAGATAGTTTTCTTATTTCATGTTTATGTATTATGAGATTTGTAAACATTAAAATTCTTACAAAAGTGAAAACAACTACAGCGAGGTTGTGTGGAAAAGAGGTTATGAATTAAAAAGTAAAAAAGGAAAAAGAAAAAAGAAAAAAGAAAAAAGAAGGAGACCTGGCTATTTTAATGGACACATCTAGTAATTGATGCTTGTGATTGAAGTTGCAATCTTTGGTGCATACAAATTCATTAGGGAATTTACCAACATTTTCCAGCTAAGAGACTGATGCATTTGTGCAACTGATGTCTGCGAATCTCTTGACCCCTATGTCTAGAAATTAGGGAATCATTTCAGGGATAATATCTCTCTGCACATTAGAACCCATTGATAATATCATTACTGAGAAATTGTTGGCTTTGTAACAAAGTCTGCTGGACTGAGAAATGTTTAGACATGTCTGGCCATTTCCACAGGATAGGACTGGGTCATTGATACTGAGTTTTTATGACAGACTCTTGATAACATCAACACAAGCCTCCTCCATTCTTCGCTTGAGCGGCCCATAGTCATCAGCAACTGCACCACTGAGGAACGCAGGGAAAAGCTTTCAAGATACCGCAACAAGAAGACAAAAAGGAACTTTGGAAGGAAAATCAAGGTAAAATTCTGATCCATATTGTTTCTATAGACTCAGTACTTTTATATATTGAATAAATTTTCAACAGAAACTTATCAAAGCGAGATATAGAAGCAAAACTACGGACTGCATAGCTATGTACCAAAGCAACATTCTCAGTAAATGTCTCCTTAATGTTCTAATCCCATCCTGCATACTCGGATCCCTTATCATATTAGCTCATAGACTCGCAGTGAACAAGCAGTATCTGTTTTCTCATTCTTTTTCTTCTTTTTATAATCAATGATCTTTAGAACATTTAACCTTTGCCAAACCTCAGGGACCTACTATTGTTCAAGTCTTTTGCATTGGATGTTTGTTGGGTTTTCTATGAGGATTGAGTCGATTGAGCTTTGTAATTATTTTCTTGGGGATGTTGAAAGGGGGTTGCTGTTAAATATATATGTATATATATATATATATATATATATATATGCATGGATGATTTCCTGCCCTGTTAATAGGTAAGATTCAAAAAGTTGCAGTATGTACACCTGTGTAACTATCATATTATCTCTTGCTGTCAAAAATTGGAATGATTTCAAAGAGAATATGAAGGACTTTCATACTACACTTACTGGATTCAGGACTTGAGCTGATCCGTCACTGTAGGAAGGTATGAAACTAATAAAATGCTTTTTATTTCAGTATGCATGCAGGAAGGCTCTTGCAGACAACCAGCCGAGGATCCGTGGAAGATTTGCAAAGACTGAAGAAACTTATGGCAAGAGGCAATAACTGTTGACTACTTTTATATACTAATAAGAAGAATGTAGGAACGAAGTAGCTAGCTAGGTCCAATGGTATATGTAATGGAAGAGAGATGAGATCAGTAGTAGCGTAAGCCTGGCATATAAAATAGACTTGGAATCAGATTAGCTCATCAATAAACCAGACCCCAAAATCATCTGCTAAGTATTTGATCTCTATCATCAGCTGTAATAACCTCCTTTCTAGACCTGCATATGGCCAACTGCGTACGTATGTAAATAGGGTATGTGGAATAATCATCTGGGGAAGCAAAAGAGTTGTACTTGTTCATATTATATGTTATGAAATTGCAATCTTTGTAGTCCCTCCTCCACTGGTGCAATGGCGTCTTGACAAAGATGTTGGATTCACAAGATGAACTTGTTCATATTATTATTGTATGCTATGAAATTTTTCAGTCCATGAATATATATATGCATATATACATTATACACACGACAGGAACCTGTCAGATCAATTTTCATGCCTGTCTCTGACCCATTCCATCTTGGGCTTGCAAATTAAGGCTCCAAGAACAAGTCAAGAAAATGCTCCAAGGAACAACCCGCAAATACTTGGCACCGAATCTTCATGATAAGATTATTTAAAAAAAACAAAAAAAATATTTAAAAAAACCTTGAATATCTCCATATCTCTCCTTCCACCAACACAAGAATTTTTTACTTTTCCGGGTGCTGCCCATCATTGGGATTGCAGAGAATTCAATATAAATCCAAATTCCTAACTACAACTAAGAACTCATCTATGTCTTGATTGCCCATGACATGACCGCTATAACCATTTTTTTTCAGTAATGACATTGAAATTGAAGCATATAAAACTCGAATTAACCCTCTTTTCTTTGCCCATTATCTTATCGTTGATATATAGCTCACACTTCATGTGGATGTGGTTGTTCTCAAAACTACACGAAATTAAGAGCAACCAAACTTTGTTCATTTCAAAAGTTTGAATCAAAACCCATCCACCAAAAACACCAACCTTTGGGACAGACGACAGAGGTATCATTTCATGACAACCCACCCACAATATAAAACGATGAAAATATATTCTGAATTTTCACCATGAGGCAACAAACAAAACCCATTTTTACAAATTTGTGAAAAATGTCAACTTTCCATTTGGGCCTCAAGGTCGGTGTTAAAATTTGGCGGCAGGCCAAGGCTTTGCTCTTCAATTTCAGAAACAGACTAGTTTCGAGTTTCAACCCAACACCAATCAATTAGCCAAAGCTAATTTGAACTTTCATCTGCTTAGTCTACCACAAACACCATCCATCCAATTCGAAAAATTTGAAGACAAGGCCATGTTAGATTTCCATGAAAACAAAGCTCACAACAAAGGATCAATTTCCACAAATTTGTACGAATCAACCGAGTATTAGACTTTGGTCCAACCAACAAAAATATGTAAAACAGTAAAACTGAACAAGTGCAGTCATGTGTGCTTTGTGTTCCAACAAGAACATATGGGAAGATGGAGGGCCCACCAACATAACAGAACATGACATAAGAAGCTGAACGAAACGTTCTATGGTAAGCGTAAGCATAAATATCCCAACATTTCCTTAGCGACATCAGCACAACTCCAACATTCTTGGAAGTTGGAACAAACTCTTTGCTCAAACACCATAACCACCGAACATATGCATAACTCAACTCCCATCCCATGTTTGCTCCTCAACTCAAAACTCCATCATTGTAATTTGTATTCTACTCTGCAACTTGACCTTCCAACTTGCAGAACACGTTTATATTACAACGGTTTTAACTTCTTTTTCGTTTTACTTTTAATACCTCTAAAATACAAAACAATACCTTTTTTTTTGGCCATTTTCTTCTGCTGGCCGGTTGACTTTCCAAAAATTCATGTGGTGCTTCTCTGCACGAAAGCAACACCAAACTCTGTTCATTTTCAAAACCCCTCCACCTAAAACACCAACCTATCGTTAAATCTCAAAAAACCCGCCTTACCTTTGGGACAGATAGACCCACGACATATAAATATAAATATAAAACTGTTGACAAGATGTTCTGAATTCACGAGCTATCTGTAGACTATCGATGCAACAAAACACAAAATTTAGATATGGAAATACCAAAATAAAACCCATTTGGCATTTACCAAACTTGCAAGTGAAGAAGTGCAATTAAGAAAGGAAAACTTTGAAATGGGCCTGAAGGTGGTGGTCTTAAAATTGGTCGGTACCGACCGGCATAGACTCAAGCCAAGGCCATGATACTCTTCAATTTCAGAAACAGAGGAATTTCAACCCAACACCAAACTTTTACAAAATTTGATGTTCTATCTACCACACAGAACAGACACTGCCCCCATCCAACTCCAAAAATTGAGGCAAGCCCATCTTTGATTCCCATAGACATCTTCGTCTCGTCGAACTTGAAAGTTTCAATGTTTTTTTCTTTTCTTTTCAAGTCAACCGTCAAACGAAAAGATGGCTCGCAAAAGGATCAATTTTTCACAAATTTGTGCTAATCAACCGAGTAGAAACTCTGAGCAGCCAAAAGCAAAAGGTAAACATAATTTTTTACACGAAATACATTCCAATAATGGTAACAGTGACCAGTTAAGCAGGACAACCAACATGAAGATACCCAAAATAACCCTACCAAAAAATTGGTGGGAAAATTCGTGATTTCCACTGGTGAATTTCTTACTTCAAGTTCAAAACACTATCCTTCGTATCATACCATGAAAAACCATCGGGAAAGAAAACCAAGATTTATGTTTTTTCCATGACCGCCACCACCCGGCATAAAAAAGTTGAAGAATTTTAAAACTCCACCTTTGCCGTATTCCGATGACCACCATCCTAGTACAACTCAATTTGCAGAAATATTTCTACAACAAATTTTGAATCAAACCCATCAATAATTTCATCTATGAATCTATCCTGTACATTCACAACCCCCACAAAAATGTCGAAATAATTTCACACTGCCCTCTGGTCAGTGGTTACCTCCAGCCATATTCGAATTTGCAGCGTTCAAAAACAAGAAAAGCCCATCACAACCAACAACCATCAAGCAATTAAATGAGCCACGATACTAAAGTTTATAAATTGGTTCGTCAATTTAATTTAACACTGGGGTAACCCAAATCGAAACAGAAACAGAAACTTAGAAATTGAATGCTACATTATAATTTAAAGTTTCCAACTTTCTTGGAACAACCTTTGCAACATGTCTCTCCCTCTCTGTCTAAAAAAACCATAGAAACCACCCATTAAATCCACAATGGCGCACAAAAATAAACATAACAATGAAACCCAGCCCAACCAGATTGTCCATGACGACCATGCTCATGACCTTGCCAGAAGAATTGTGCTCTAAACACGTAAGGTGCACGTTAGCCCCTACCACTCTCTCTCTCTCTCACACACACATCTTACTCTCTAATATAACACTTTGCAAGATAACGCCGACCCGCTTCTCTCTCTCTCTCTCTCTCCTCCCTACTCTGTCACCCGCCCTATTTCTCTCTTTCTCTCACTAAAAAAATTTCGCACAAAATTAAAAAAAAAGAGAGAATTTACAAGACTCCAATTTACTATTTTCCTTCGCTGCTTATCATAATTACATTACAATTTGTGTAAGCAATTTCATATTCTCTCTTCTTTCTCTCTCTGCGCTGAAGCAGTTGAGAAACTTCCTGGATAGATCCCTATTTCTCTGTCCGACTCCTTTTGTGAATTTCGATCCTTTTCATCTAATACTCAGGCATTCTCTTTGCTCAATTTTGTCCTCTGTCTTTCTCTCCTCATTCTCTGTCTTTTTCTCGGGAAGAAGATTCTTCATTAGTCGTTATCGTTTCAATTGCTCTGTTTTGGGGAATCCAATTGGGAATTAGGGTTTATTTGTTTTACTGAGAATTGGGTTTTGATGTGCAAGCAAAAGGCTTTTGTGGGTATTATGTTGAAGTAAGATTTCTTCTTTGGTTTATGGGATTCAGAGATTCGTGTGGTTTCTAAATTATTTTTGAAAGAATGATAATCAAGAAGAACCTCAAATCCCAAATGCCGAGTCTGAAACGGTGCAAACTCGGCGAGTCAGCGGGTGAGGACGAAGATAACTCGGGCAGGAAGAAGAGGAAGACTAATGGGTATTACCCTCTCAATCTACTCGGCGAGGTCGCCGCTGGTATTATACCGGTCAGTCTTCACGGTTTGCTCGGTTCAGTTGGGGCCGAGAAGGGCTTCTCTGCTTCGTGGTGCACCGAAGTCTCGTGCTCCCCTGAGGTGGAGTTGAAATCGAAGAGCAGAGAGTCAGCCAAAGCGAAGACTAATCGGACGGCAGAAGTTTCGCGGCCGCCTCTAGTGAGGACTTCGAGGGGCCGAGTTCAGGTACTTCCTTCCCGGTTTAATGACTCCGTTATTGAGAACTGGAAGAAAGAAAGTAAGACTAGTTTGCGTGATTATAGTATAGATGAGGAGATTGAGTGTAAAAAAGAGAAAGCTAGCTTTAAAGCCCCCAAACAAGGTAGCCAAAATGCCAAAAAGACACGAAATGCTGAGAGAATTGGATATAACAGTAAGAAGTATTCGGGTTTGTGTGAAGAAGAAGATGAAGTAGAGGAAGAAGGGAGTATGCGGTTTAGAAGTTTAGATATTAGGAAGTATTCGAGCTCACGTAGTACACTCACGTCAGTGCATGAGCAATTGGTTGAAGATGACAAGTGTCCAGTTGCAGAAATTGATGAACAAGATGATTTAGTGGGCACAGTGAGGGCTCCAAAGGAGAGGAGAGATGGATTGTATGGACCCGAAGACTTTTATTCGGGTGATACAGTGTGGGCGAAGCCAGGGAGAAAGGAGCCTTTCTGGCCTGCCATTGTTATTGATCCAATTTCGCAAGCGCCTGAGCTAGTTTTGAGGGCTTGCATACCAGATGCAGCATGTGTGATGTTCTTTGGATACTCTGGGAATGAGAATCAAAGGGTATGAATTACTTTCCATATGGAGTTTTTATCTATATTTATGAACTTGCTCTATTTTCATGTTTAGAAGAGTGACCATTTATTAAAAAAATTTGTATTATCTTGAGCAGGATTATGCTTGGGTCGGACGAGGGATGATTTTTCCCTTTATGGATTATGTGGACAGGTGTGGTTGTTGTCTTACAAGAGCTGGAATTGCAATTTATTAATCGCTCTGTCGTTATGTAATATTTTGCATGATATAGGTTCCAGGCGCAGTCCGAATTGAACAGCTGCGAGCCCTGTGAATTCCAGATGGCAATTGAGGAGGCATTTTTGGTGGAACAAGGGTTTACGGAAAAGTTGATAGCAGATATAAACATGGCGGCAATGTATGATGACGCTCTACTTGGAGGGGTTCAAGAGGCTACAGGTTCAAATCATGATCTGGACTGTCAATTACTG